TGCCTCGAATAATGCCACAACAGAGACCTTGCCTTCCCCTCCTACAAAGGGACCTAAACAAATGATATTCTCACGACTATAACTATATCTTCAGGATTTATAACAACCATTTATTATATCATCATGGATTCCAGATTTGTTCTCTGATATGATTATCACCGATTGTCGAAAGACATGCGGATTTCGCCTAATCCACATTAGTGCTTTTGGCCTGAGGCACGACGGCATGGATTCATTAATATTTATCATTAAATTTCCCATATAATGGATCTAATTAATATTATCACCCCACCACATTTCCAGATCCTGACCACTTAGACCATGGTGATATCTATTTTTGGGACATAATTGTCAGAGGAATATTTCCTTCTTCAAATAGATTACTATATTATCTTTCATTATAATATTTGATTTCTTTGCGGATGGAATATATGATCCTCAACGATCAATCTTTGATCGATCTCATGCAGATTGCCAATAAGATTTTACAAAGAAACCACGCACAAAGGAAGACGTTAGAATCGACCGTCGACAAGGACGAAACGGACAGAAGAAACCTTCGCGCTCATCGGATTAGAATTAGACAGGTAATAAGAAATTAATTGCAATGATGGCGAGACTAACATTACGTCAAGAAAATCAATTCAATCAGATCTCCCTAGATCAGATCTATTTATTTTTCGTTCAGGTTTGTATTTTGCAAAAGATGATCCTTTTAGATTTCAAAATGAATTTAATTAATTTCATATCAAGAAGATTTGGGTGAATTCAATCCAGCCCTTGCCGGACTACATTTCACATATGAATTTGAAATTAAAAAATTCTCGCGCAAACTTCCAACCAAGACTCATATTTAAGGAAACGAACTTTCCAAACTACAAAAATAACGTTTACATGTAATTTATCGAATCTAATAATTTCCTTTAATTAATAAGGTAATTCGCATATAATGGACCGTCGCCGGGCCCAACGGGTCCAACATGCCCCAAGGCGCCGACGGGCTCTCGACAAGTTCCCGACAGGTAACGGGCCCGCAACGGCCCGGCCCCAGTGGGTACTGTACCCATTTGCATGTATTGTCGGATTAGGTGGTCTGATTAGGTATTGAGGAATACGAAGAGATAAGATCTTCCTCCATTATATTTAGAATTAATTTTGGTCTATTTGGATTTGAATTGTCATTTCATTTAATATATATTTATATTTCCTAATATTGATGAAATTATTTTGGATTAATAGTTTATTTTGCAATTTATGTTATTGAATTTCGATTTTTTGTATCAAAAACAGAAGGTTTCCGATATCTAATAATATTCTAATATTATTAATGATGCATTATACTAATTTTCTCGGCTCTCGGCTCTAAAATACCTTTGGAGACTAAATATGTTTATTTCATTGTTATATTAATCGTCCATTTGCCGATATTCAAGTTATTTGTTATCCATCTATCTTCTTCTTGCGTGCCATAGATATGGGGGGTGAAAGGAATATGTGAAATAATATCAACTAAGCAAATGCCATACCCGTAGGTGTCCCTCATATCCGTCAATACAGGAATTGGATGGCATAGGAAAAGTGTAAGTTTGAAAGTCTATTTAGTTTCGAAGTCCAGGTATTAACCTGGTAAAGGGGTTTTTTAAAATCGTTCTCTATTGGTTGCGTCGAGGATTTGAACCAGCTGCTGTCGAGAGTTATTAAATTCAACATCGGTTTGGCGGCTTTGATTCCAAATCAAAATCAAAATATTGTAGGTCCATTGTTTTCGTGGCCTGCCAACCCGTCTGAATAATATTTCGAGCGGAGAGGCCGAATCATTTCTGAAAATTACCATCCTCATAGGATATTCATTATTGTACCGAAGAATTCTATCAGTTGAAGCAATTCAACGATTCTTCAAAGTGTCTTGAATGGACACTATTTTATTTCCAAATTCGTTGTTGGAGATATGAAGATTTATTCTTCTCAAGACTTCTGCGTTGGTATTGGCACGGTTTATATATGTGGTAGCCATTCCCAACATGTTCTTAAATCTTTCAATTGAAACGCTTCCAGGCGAGAAAGAAGACTAGTTGGCATTTCCAACGTCTCTAAAGCATAAAGAAATTTTGATTTAATGACGGCATTATATATCAGGATTGTATTTCTCAAGCTGCACTGCACCTCTTTCCAGAAAATATCCAAAATTTTCCAAATCGCCATAGCAGAAGCAATTCTGCTGGAAATTTCGGACGCAATATTCACCTGTTTTGTGAAGATTCCGCCGAGGTAGATGACTTCGTCGGCGTGTTTCATTTGCGAGCCATCTCGGAAGCGGATAATGTTGTGCCCGTTCATTGCTAAAACATTGCATTTGTTGTGGTTGAGCGTCAACCCATAATATGTTGATTTCTCTTCTATGGCGTGTAGGAATTTATTAATTCCTATCGTATTTTGGAAATCAAAAGTCATCAGCATAAAACACCTCATTAAAACGTACATGATCGAATTGATTATCAATCAAATCTCTAGAATATTTGATTCCAATATCGTGAAAAAGAACAATCATGACGAATACAAATAAAAAGGTGGAAAATGGGCATCCCTGTCGTATGCCTGAACTTTGTGTCCTCACATACGATTGGAGATATTCGTGTTTCAGCTGAAAGGACAAGTTACTATAGAAATTTGCAATAATATTTCTCAATTTGCTGGGTAGATTTAACCGTTCCAAGGCTTGCATCATGCGTGGGTGGGACATTCGGTCGAATATTTTAGCCCAATCCAACCACGTTCTCCCCATTTCTTTCGCCAATATCTTGAAGTCGTCTAGCTATAAAGAGGACATCAATTGAAGAACGATGCTTTCTGAAACCGAATTGGGTCTTGCAAATAAAAGGGTCAATGATTTCGGCTAGCCTGCAACGGACGATTTATGCGAAAAATTTGTAGATAGCATTTAAGAGTGAAATGGGTTGGTAATTAGCAATGTTGTCTGGAATGCCTAAAAAATATAGAAATTACCTATGCATTGAGGAAAATCGAAGGGATCCTTTCAAGAAACCACCAATCATTCAGCATTAACAACAAGATTTGGTTGTTTTCTTCATTAAGGTATTTATTTTGTTTTTTAATACGAATTTCATCCGATCCGGGGACCTTGTGGTTTGTTGCTTTCGGCAAAGCAACAACAAATTCTCGCATATTTATGGATCCAAAAAAAAAATGTTACTAACAATTAGATTCTTTGCAACAAACGGCTACAAAACATCAATTTCCACTATACAAATTGCCTTATATACGTCTACATAATCAAATCCAATTCTCATTTATATTTTAAATTTGAGAAATTAATATAATTTTCTTCTTGATAATATTAATATTCGTCGATTTATTAATCAATCAATTCATTTATTATTATTTTGCCTTATCGATATATCTTTTGCATCATTTGTGATAATATCTATATATATTATCATATATATATTATGTATTTTAATATAATTTTAATATATTTAATTAATATTAATTAAATAATATAAATTTATTTTAAATAAAATAAAATATTATATAATATATATCTAATATATCTATCGAATCCAATTCTAATATATTCCAAATAATATCTTAATATAAATCAAATAAATTATATCAATTTATCAATATAATTTCAAATACGCAATATTTTAATATATAATATACGACAATATATTATATATATTTTTAATATAAATATAAATATGTATTAATAATATATATATATCTTCAAACATAAACAAATTAATTAAAAAAATCATATAAATCTATTTAATATCATATTCAACAAAATTTATATAATTTATTCTATATATATATAACAAAATTTGTAATATATATATATATATTCATATATTATATATATTATATATATAGTTTAAATTCTATATATCAATCAAACATAATAACATAAAGATTATCAATATTATGTCTTGAATCGAATATATTTCTATTGGTTTCTATTTAATTTTGTAATGATCATGGCATGCATGAAATTGTAGTTCTGCAATCAGGCATATTCAATATGATTCTCCTTTGGGGAATCTGATGCTAGAAGCAAATGAGATCAAACGAGCATTTTGCATCAATGCAAATTAGTTCAGTCCAATTTCTGACCGGCAATTCTGTTAATCATAACAAGGAATTATTGCATCCAAGGAAGACTTTCTTCACTGTCATTGGGCAGTGTATCCACACATTCGAATACTTCTTGGCTTTTGGGAGGTGTGTAGGGCTCTCAAGAAATCGCCATTAAACTCCATTAGCCATTCATGTCCATCTCCATGAATGTGGGAATCCTGCAGTCAGAAACTGCACTTGAAGGAAAACTTGCCGGGGCTTCTCTCAGTCACACGATTCCTTTTCTTTTGACTGCAGCTTGGAGCTTTTGGGGGATGAGGGCTGACCAAAGCTTTGAGGTTCGGATTGGAAAATATTTGGACTTGAGCAGCCCTGTGAAGCGCTTAGCCACTAAGCCTCAAGCCAAATCTGCCATTTTTGATTTTAGCTGGATCCTAAGTTTGTGTTTTGAGTCTTGAGCAAATGTTGGCCAAGCCCGTCTTTGTGAGTTGGGGGATCCAAATCTCCTACATTTGCACGTGCCAGCATCATGTCTGCCAGTGTAGAGGCATGATGAGGCTATCAACGGTTGCCCTTTCTAGCTCCTTGCGTACTCGCACTATATACGCCTCCTCAAAAGTCAACAACAACGAGACGAAGCAGCAGAATGTGAGCCACCTGTAAAGAACATTAACTTGAAACACATGCTTAAATTATATCAATATAACTACATCGCACATGTTTGCCTAAGAGAACCCTCTCGCTTGCCTGAGAGAACCCTTGCGTTTGAAAAGCTGCACAATACAAAGCCTATATACATCAATCTGCCACCCGGTGCCAGTAGGGTTTCATGGGTGTGATTTTCTTCTTGGAAGTGTGGTTTGGAGTCATCTCCTCAATCAAGGAGTCTGGCGGGTCCGATAACATCAAGACAAAGGATTTCAACTCACACCCAGGCTCGAAACACCCGGGTTGTGTTTTGACCATTCGGATCCTTTCGGAGCCAGTCATTGATTCGGCTTATCATTGGCCACCCCCCTGGTGGTGGTGACCACCATGGTGATGGTGATGGATAATGTGATGATGCTCATAATGCCTCAGTTGGACTGCAATTGGAAGGCTGTTCACCAGATCTCCATTTTGTGGAACCAGGCTTCAATGGCATTGATTTGCACTCTGTCTTCACTGCACAACCTGCAACAACCTGCAAAGCCTGCAAAGTCTCAAGGCGTTTTGGGTGTTCATTTTCGGTTTGTCAATGTCCCATTACCTCCTCGCAGCAAAGGCTACAAATGCAATACTGTACGATCTTCCATTCTCTCCGGAGAATGCATGCAAAAATATCGGTAGGCAGCGCTCCGGAGGGTGGTGTAGGAATTGGAATTCCAATGCGCTCCGAGTTGAAGTAGCGCTCCGTCTTATCTTGATGACCCATGACATTATCGACCAAATAAGGAAGGTGATCATTTATCCTGACATCTAAATTCTAAATGATTCTCTTGTTCTCATCTAGTTCAATTCTTCATGTTTGTGGTGACCAAATTGGATGTTTCTCACCTTTTTCAAGCGTTTATGGCATCCGAGGCGCTGGTTGGTCGGGTCATGGCGAAATCCCTCGTGCTGAACCGTCACCTGACATCACCCAGAAACAGTGCGGCATTCCGCGTTTTCCGCTTTCCAAGTGAATTGCAGTTCTACTCTCGAAAAAAAGAGAAAAGTCGAAGTCTGAGGGGCTTCAGCAATTTCTTCAATTCTTGATTCATACAGCTTTGGCATTCCAGGACCCTCATGATCCTGGTTTCTGGGGAGGTTGTCCCAAAGCCATCAACTCAATAAGACAAACATTGGCCCGGCTTGAAACGAGCGCGGTGCTTCCTCCTTTGCCTTTGGTTATCATCTTTTCTTGGAGTTCCGTTAGAGGGTTAGTCTTCCCCATGAGTGAGTTCTGCTCTGAAAGGACCAGTGTGCCAAGCTCCCACTGGCACAGCTCCCAACCCTCCCAAACAGCCAGGTCACAGTTTCAGATGTCGACACCTGGTAGTGCCACAAAGGATGCTTTGGACAGCTGTGCATTCAGTTGGAACCTTGAATACCTTCACAGTGAGCGGGTATAAATGTGCAAACAATATCTCCATCTTTCATGTTCTTCAGCATCTATGACCGCAAGAAAAAACATGAAAAAAACAATATCTTGTGGCAATCAATATCATCTCAAAAAAACAACTCATCAGTGCATCAGGAACCAAGGAAGGTAAATTAACCTGTGGATGTGGGTGTTACTATAAAGTTACTAGCAGTACCAGCAAGATCTGGAACTGCCCATGAAAGCAGAAACCAACACCTGTTGCAATTCATTGATCATGTTTTGGCGACAAGGCCATGCAGAAAGGGACGACGACGACCACCACCACTACCACCACCACCACCAGCAGCAGCAGCAACAGCAACGGCAATGGCAACATGTGCGATCCGTATATTTTGCATTCCGCTGGAAAGACCAGCACGAAGGACCCGCAGGTATAGATTTTTGGAGGCCAAGCCAAAGGAACAAAATCAATAACAGGATATAACAGGATCATACACTATCACAAACAAGGTACACGAAATCCCCCAAGTCTTCAGGCCCTTCAGGCCATATTGCCCTTCGCTGATCGACTCAAAATCCTCAGGTTGGCACAGAGACCACCTCCGGTGGAGGACGAGGAGGTGGACCTCGGCCATGGGATGGTGGATCTATGACAAACAGCACCACGCCATCCTACGCCAAACGCAAAAGCTCGAACTTCATACCATGTCTTTTGTGACATGGCCTGGCAATGCTTCTAAGCACTCCTAACATGAATTTGACCATGGCCTGGCAAAGCAATCACCACATGGTTGCGGAACTTTTCTTGCACTTACTCCAATGATTCCCACGTTCATCTTCATCATGCATGCTGTTTGTTGAAAGAGAAACCCATCAGTTCGTATATTTTTTAGGACTTTCAAACACCCCCGTTCGCTCGGGTGGCCTGTGATCAGGATGCAAAGTCGCCGCAGGACCTGCCAGGACTCAGTGTTGCCCATCGCTACCCAAACATGACATGTCCCCTATGATTGTTTGCAAGAAAAAAACAAATGAATGCTACAAATGTTCCTTTGCAACCCACGCAAGGTGTGTTCTCTGAAAAACAACATAGTGTTTTCTTTTAACTCTATTCACTTGCTGGTGCGGCTGTCGTGTTTCAGTGTGTTGCGAAAAACTGGGTGTGAAGCCAAACAATGTGAACGGCAAAAAACGATACAGTTTTCAATCCAATCGTTCTCCGTATGTATGTTCTTGAATGAATCGTTATATGCACAAGTATGCACAAGTATGCACAAGTGCCTACCCATGTGCCCCTCCTCATGTCATCTTCTCTCAACCTGGTCATGTGTTCAAACAATATGAAAGGGGCGTGATTCTGTGATTCCCGCGGACTCATTAGGCTGGCCATCCAAGTGCTGTAGTGATCAAACACGTGATGGCTCTTGCCATGGGTCGATATTCAATCTACCCAGTGCAAGCTCACTCGCAAAGAAACACAGCTACCGGACAATCCTTTTACCGTTGCATCATGTTGCATCGGTATCTTCCAAGAGGCCAGTCAAAGTCAGCACCCACTTATCAGCTGCTCAGGTTGCTTTTGATCCGACCGTCCACAGCCCCCAGTTGCCTTTGGATAGAAAAAGACGACTGCAGCCAACATGAGCCTAGGAAATGAGTCATGGGACTGCATGGCAGTGGGGTTGGCCACAAATGACACGGCTCAAAGAACTTCATGGTGAGGAATCAAACTACGTGCGACAGACTGCTCGCTTCTCTCCCCGAGCCAAAACTAAGTAAGGACGTGAACACATACATGTACAGCATCGTACCTATGTGTACTGTAGTAACAAGTGCACTACTACTACTACTACTACTACTACTACTACTACTACTACTACTAC